TTTTGCTGTCCCTACTCTCTCAAAACTCACACCGAAGTTAATTAGGTTTTAATAACAATTGTACTTATGTACTACCTTCCATGAGAGAATCTCAAAGTGATTTAATAAACATCTAATTAATCTTCACTATATTTAATTGTGATCCTCAATTTATAGATGAGGCACCTGAGGCATGAGGTTAAATGATCTGAAGTCTGCAGCACAACCAGAGACAGAACTCGGCTCTTCTGTCTCCAAGACCTATGCTTTAGAACCAAGGCCCTGCATCCCCTCTTTCATTACGCTAGTAAGAATTCCAGAATTGGACCCTATGAATGTATTAAGGAGCAAGTATATCCATTACAATTAGATTCTTAGGTAGTGTAGTTATGAAAACTACATCCATTATTTTAGTGTTTTCTTCCTAAGGGCTTGTATGACTTGAATGTTAATTTGGATTAAGGCAGGCTATGAATTTAAAGTGCAATAGCTATTTCTGAATAACTCCAAGTGTGGACACTCATTTCAGACTTATTCTTGACTGCGTCCTGAATGACTCCTTGTGTAGACAAGCACTAAATAGTTTTTCATATACAATTTCAATTTATGCTTAGAATGACTGCAGCAACTATTTTAAACAATTGTTTTATTCGGGGCCTTGATTTTTAAATCCTTTGTGCAAATACAGTAATAACAGGTGGTTTTGAGAAACACATTTTTTTTAAAAAAGATGCTTGACTACCTGCTTTCTGACCTCTCTGCCATGACCATGTCTTGTAGAACTGAAAATGTTCTTAGATGAAAACAGGATAATTGCTGGATACAGTGAATAAGGGACTGGATTACCGTGATTTATTTTACAATATTGAAGAACATGGCATCAAATCATGCCTTCCAATTATGGCACTGGAAGTCTAAAGCAAAACCAGCTTGTTAATATTGTTTTAAATAATGACCCAGGAAAATCCATCCTATTGCTTCCAGCTTCACAAAGCACAAGTGAGGCATTAAACTACTAAAAAATATGCATTGATTAGCAAAGTCTAAGAGCAGCACCTGTTTTTTCTGTATTACCAGACAGACTTCTTTAGTAAATGCCAAGTATGGATTACAAACAATTGCATTCCAGTCAAACCTCAGCTTTCATTTTCCAGTCTTAACCTTTTATTTTCTGCTGTTGTATTTATTTCTTCTTTACAATTTACTGTGCACTGGCAGCCAAGTAGGGTAAATTGTACAACTTTTCAAGTACAGTTGGCTTGTGCAGTTGTCAACTGTCCTTTCTTTCTACGTGGTAGGGAAGCATCATGGATATTGAGATCAAAATGTATTTTAGTTTCCAGTATTAGAGATTAACTCAGGCTTCTTACCTTTCAGGATCAGAATTTAGTATTTTACTTGCAAGTGTTGATTATAGTACTAATCCCCTGAAATGAATTAGGGAGCCATAGTCCTTATACTATTTTGAATGTTAAATGGTCCCAATCCTGCAAACATTTACATACATAAATAACTTTATGCATGTGAATAGTCCACATATTTTTCAAGAGCCTTATTGAGTTCGGTGCATCTATTTGCATGTGTACAGCTATTTGCCAATATACATATTTGCAGGACTGGGGCTAATGTCGTCAGCTCTTGCAAGTTTAACCCAGAAACCTACATTCAGGCGTTGATGGGTAAATAAAGAAGGACCTAATTTGTGAGTATTTTGTTGTTTAAAGTATGTATTTATGGTTTAAATCTAAATATATATTTTGCTATTGATTTTGGATATTTAACACTTGAGGACCCGATCCTGCTATCCTGGACTTCAATGTGAGCAGGATGAGGCCATTGGGTTGGGGGGTTTAAAATGATTTTTAGTTCACATTGAGAGTGTCACTGTTACCACCACCATTAGAACGCTACGTACTATGGATGCCGCAGTTGTGATTACTCTCAGTTTTGCCAGTGGATGCCCCTGCTATAAAACGAAAATAACTACATTGTTGTCATTAAATATACTTGCTTGTGTTTAGCTCCCTGGGAGTTAGAGAAAAATCTGGGCAGGTCACTGGAAATGGTTTTTGAAATTCAGATTCATTTATATGTGAAATGTGGAGCACAATATGGTACTCTGAAGAGACAGAATTCAGAGATACCAGCCTATGGGCACCATATCCTATCATTGTACATATTTTTCAGACAAGCCCAGAAATAGAAAAACATAAAAAGCTATTGTCCGTGACCTGTGAGAAATGAAATGCACTGTACCAGATATCACAACTTCCTTAAAATAATACAACACTTCATCACTTTTGCATTTGGATCCTTTTCATGGTTTTCAAGTCATAAACTACTTGAAGTTCACAACTAGCTAAAACACACACAAAAAGCAATTTATTATAAACTCTCCATGGTTTCACCTTATCTAATGCACTTAATTCAGTTTATCTCCTGCTTGCTTTGTAGTGTTGTAGGCAACCGAAAGATAGAAAGCAATTTATTAATAAGAGAACATGCCCTACAGCTTTTGCATCTGAAAACAGTTTCTGCATGGTAATATATCCAGACCTCAAAGTTTACAGCATATAGTGAAAGTTAATGACATATACTATAATCCTTTTATTCATATGCAAGCTTTTATTCACACCCCCCAACAAAAAGGATCTAGGTGCCGTGGATATTGGTTACTATGTTTTGATTCTGTTGAGCATCTAACAGTGCAGAACAAGATGCTATTTGCTAACAATGTCATGCACTAAGTTACTTTATACATTTGAAAAATACTAATAAAATATATTGTGCTAAGTGTTAGATTAGTTTTGAAAATGATCTCTTCATTCCCCTCCTTATTTCCAACGCCACTGAGTTATTAAGACAAAAGACTTTAATCACTTTTGACTTTGTTCTTTAAAAAAACAACAAACAAACAAACAAAAACCACACACCCTGAAACCACTTTACTAATTGGTACATATTCCTTTCTGTAAATTTTTAAGTGATAAAGATGAAGTTAAAGAAGATAATAGCTATTACCTATAAAACCCTAATGCTTAGAGAGATTCAGAAGATGTTAAACTTTGTTGGCTATTATAATCTTTTGTCAATAAATGTACACAGGGCACACTCTCCCCTTGATGCCAATGTGTAACCGCTCCTTGAGTCAATGGGAGTTATGCATGTGCAGGAGAGGAGTATATACTTGTGTAGCCCTTAAGAACCACATATATGGTGCAACTTGAATGTGGCAGCAAAGAAATCAGAGGTGAAGGTGTTAATGTAGGACTAGTTGTGGTAGAACTTTAACGTCCGCTTCCCTCTGCTTGATAAAAGGAGGGACTTGGAAATCAGTATCATGAAGAGCCTTAGAAACATCAATTAAAATTCACCAGTGAAATGATTGTCATGTTCCTAGGCACTACTTTAAGTGTACAATTACAGTAATTGCTTTAATTATACTGCAGTGATTCTATACAAGTGCATGCATGGGAAATGCCACTGTAAATTTAAAAAAAAAGAAAGAAAGAAGAGAACCTTTTATTGCAGGTGTATTGAATTGATGAGGTTGTAAGTGACTTCATTTACAGGGAAACTTTATAACTAACCTAAATTTCTCTAGATAGCAAGATGGGATTTTAGAAACTTTTTTTGTAAGGCCTATTGCAAAACTCTTTTTGCCTTTTTTCAAGTGGCATTTCTAATGCAGATACTAGGTGAATGGTGTAACAGAAACAGTGAAAAATAGATTTAAAAGCTACATAACAGAGAGGTAGCAAGAGCATGAAGCCTTGTTTTAAAAATTCAATAGCCTGTTATAGCTACAGTAACTCAGTAACTCCTCGCTTAAGGTTGTAGTTATGTTCCTGAAAAATGCGACTTTAAGCGAAACAATGTTAAGCAAATCCAATTTCCCCATAAGAATTAATTTAAATGGGGTGGTTAGGTTCCAGGGAAATATTTTTCACCAGACAAAAAACTAGACACACACACAGTATATGTTTTAAACAAACAATTTAATACTGTTCACAGCTATGATGATTGTGAAGCTTGGTTGAGGTGGTGAAGTTAGAGTAGGGTGACCAGATGTTCCGATTTTTATAGGGACGGTCCCGATTTTTGGGTCTTTTTCTTATATAGGCTCCTATTACCCCCCACCCCCTGTCCCGATTTTTCACATTTGCTGTCTGGTCACCCTAAGTTAGAGAGTGGAAGAGGGAGGGATATTTCCCAGGGACAACTTTAAACGAGTATGTTCCCTAATTGATCAGCAACGAAACAATGTTAACCGGGACGACTTTAAGTAAGGAGTTACTGTACTGAGCATTGAGATGGTCTAAGAATTTTACATTTTCCAACCCTTTCCTTTGATTTTTCTCCCCTCACACTTGGTTTCCTTCTACTCTGTTCATTTTCTGGGTTTATTCTATTTTTAAAAACATCATTATTTATAGTGATAAGAAATTGCCTTGTACCACATCTTGATGCTGGTTGTACTGTTTTCTCCATTTGGAGATTGATTGGGTTCTGTATTTGCTGCATTTCTGTATCTCTTTGCAGACTATGGGCCTGATAAAAGTCCATCAAAGTCAGTGGCAAGACCAACTCCCCTTGGATTCAGTGGGTTTTGCATCAAGCCCCATGTGGTCAGGTCACTCATCACCAACAGAAGAAAAGTTGTATTTCTTAGAATTTATTTTATTTATATATAATAAACACATGAATAGCTGAAACATTTCATTCTGTCCAAAGGAGAGAAGTGTGCATTAGGTTTCTTTGTTTTTGTATTCACTTTCACTTTGAAAAGCAGCGGCTTTGTAGATTCAGTGCTCAAAATCAGTTAAAAAAAAATCAGTTACCAATGTTTTCCTGAAATAGTTGCAAATGGAATTAATATCATGAAGAATGCTTCTCATTCATCAAACTTTTCATCTATGTATTCTGCTTGCAAACATCAGCTGCTTCTTCAGCTGGAAGGCTAACCTTAAAAACCTATCCCTTATGTTAGTTTCTATGGCACCAAAAGTATTTGATATGGGCTTCCGTGCCTCCTCCAGAGCTCACAGTTCTTCCCTATAAAGAAGAGAAGTATTGATGCTTTTTAAAGACTAGGTTAACTAATTAGCTGGCAAAGTGCATTCCCTGTAGTGAAATATGGCTCTTTTGCATCTCCCACAGGAAGCCATCTCCCATTACCACCTAAAACTTAGTTTTGCAAAATGCATAAATAACGGTACTGAAACTTGGAACATTTTTGTCATTTACTTCACGAAGTCTCCAATTCTGTACATTTTGGATGGGTTCTCTAGGTTCTATTGCAATACAAACTGATAAAAGTACATGTGTGTTGGGGGGTGGAAGGGAGAAGAGGGTATATTTGTTCAGTATAGACACCCATCTAGGTACATGCTTAACTGCTTCCCGCACCCAAATACTTCCTACTTTTATTATTATTGTTTTAATTAGGAAATAGAGCTAATTTGTAACATTAGTGGAAACATCTGATTGGTACTGCTTATGTTGATCTGATTTAAATATGAATGATTGCAATATCTGGATTCATTAGTATTTTGAAAATCCAAGATATTCATAACTGTGCTTTTTTAACTTGGATTTTTGTAAAATTTCATATTTTACATAGGATTGTTAGAATGTCTTGTCTAGGGATGAAATACATTTCATAAAACTGGCTCTATAATCAAATTCTGAGAATGCTTTGATTGAGTAGAGTAAGGTTTTATACATAGCTTAAGCCTCATTTTACCTTAATTAAACAGGAGTGGGTTGTCTTAACTAAAGTAAGGCTTAAGCAAGTATTTACAATATAAATGAACAAAGCTTCTTAGAATTGCAGTTCCCCTTTGTATTATAGATGAGAGCTTAGTATAGAAATAAAATTGAACCACTGAACTGTCATTGTTAAACTTAATGAGCATTAACAAATATGTAAGAAAATAACCATTGCCTACATGCTTATGACTAAAATGTATACAAGCATGTAAATCGGTGACCTCCTTGATAGCAAAATAGACAACTAGATTAATGTATGTTGCAAAGGATGGGCAACTAGGTCTATTAGGTTACTGATTCAGACCATGAACTTTATCTCAATATACTACATTTAACTTTTAAATAAGGTTTAGGAGAACATGCAACATTTTGCTTACTAACAGCTATATTTTACTAAAGGCAGAAATTGGCTAGTCTATAAAAATTAAATTATACTCCTTTTACTGTATCTAGTCAAGAGGAATAAACTAATTACAAGATCATACTGACAAGTAAATGCAAATGCACATTCTTTATATACTGGGTTAATTATTCAAACTCAAATATTATTATAAAATGAAAATCAATATTTGAAATACTTTTCAGCTTTCAATGATAAGCATATAAAACTGAGTTTTAAAATGGCCTGATAAAATAAATGTTGAATTATTAAATGAAATTTGTGAGAATGAGACATTTTATTTTACACACATTTAAATATCAACAAGAAGAAAACCCAATAAGAGATGATTAACTGAATCCTCCTTGCTTTACTCCCAATCTTTTCTAGAACTGACTGAGGAGCTTAACCTGTACTGCAAATCTCACTCAATTTAAATAGTTAAGTTAAAAAATAAATTTACTTCTTTACAGGAACTTATAACTCTCTAACTTAAAATGAGTAGGAGCTGCATTTACAGAACTAAGCCAAATAAGAATGAAGTCTGCTATGCACTGCATGACAGGAATCTATGGGAAAATTCAAACGTCAGTCCAGAGACTTTCATTATGGGCAACGTAATATTGCCCAGGTAAAAGAATAGAAAAAACATTTCAATAAAAATGTTTCTCTACCTTTATTTAATCTATTGCAAGCCAGTTTCTTTGTAGTGGTGAAGACAAGATTATGCAGCCATATATTTTTAATACCCAATCACAATCATTCATATTTTCAATTTAACATAGTCACACGAGCTTAATCAGACAGTTTGCAAACTCAGTTGTTAATCTGATTTTTTTTAATCTGAACAACTCTGTTGTACGTACCTGCTATGTGAGTGGCTTCCACTTAAATCTTTTGGATACCTATACACTCAAGTAAACCATTCCTTGCGTAAGGAGGTCTGACTGCAAACACTTCTTTGTCTAACATTCAGCCGAAGACAAGATTACAGATGTTTGTTTGGAGGTGGTTATAGTTTGAAATTGTACATTAGAATCAGGCTGACCAGATGTCCTGATTTTATAGGGACAGTCTCGATATTTGGGGCTTTTTCTTATATAGGCTCCTATTACCCCCACCCCTGTCCCGATTTTTCACACTTGCTGTCTGGTCAGCTTAATTGGAATAAAAATGTTGTGGTAAGGGAAGGGGATAAGAGGAAAGAAAATGACAAGAGTTAAATGAGGATAGTTTACGTGTTTTACTGGGAGGGATCTGTATTTGACTACATAGGATTTGTATAGCACTTCAAACTCCACATCATCCATTCAAACCTATTTAAAAGCTTATAGAATATTTGGGGTGCATGTGGCAAAGCCTTCAAATTGCATTTCAAATATTTGTCTAAAATTATGCATAGGTTCAAAGCACCTCACAACCCATAACTGTCTCAAACCTCTACCGCCTTCTCTGAATAAATACTCCTTTCTTGAAAGAAGATACTCATGTTTGAAGTAAAGAGAAAAACGTGTTTTTACCCAAAATATGTTCACATTTTAAAGTTGAGTTCTCTTATTGAATGGCGACTAATCTTCCCTTAAGTATATATCTTTTTCTTTCTGTTCAGAACAAATTCCAAATACTTTACAAAGTAGCTAGAAGTGTAGTACTATGTGTATGGTGTTACCTGCACTGAGAAGAATGCCAACAATGCATTCTCTATTTACTAACGAGGCAATTTTACCACTTTCTCATGATTTGCAGGGCATTAATCTATGGCTAGCTGTAAGATCAGAGTTGTTGATAAATACCTTGGTAAATATCACTTACTTCTGTAGAAGATTTTAATAGTATTAATCACTTTGGTTTAGGTGGAAACTATTTTACATTTCAAGACTTGTAGCTATACTTACTTTTCCTATTAACAGAGGGAATCTGGTATTGTTGGAAGGAGACAGGCTGCAGCTTTATTTACATAAACACCAAAGTGTCCTATATAATGTCCTTAATCAACAGGCATGTATAAATTGTTGCCCTCAGCTGTGAGCCACTATATCCATCCGAGATCCTTTCCCTCCAAATCAGTGGTACTACATACTCCCATCTATATAGATCTTCTGGATTCCTGCCTCTTGTAGATGGGTTTCTCAACCTGAACCGCTGCTCATCAATGTGCACGTCGTATCGAATTTGAGGAACTCCTGAGAGCCAGTACTATCCTAGCTCTTTCTGCCCCTACAAACATCACAGCTAGAGGCTATGATAGCAGCAGGAAGCTATATGAAATAGCAACCAGCCAACCACTTTTCTCTATCACAGTGCCCAACCCAAAAGTCTCTTATAAAGCTGAACCAGTTAGATGACTATGATGGGTCCTGAAGTTTAACAAACAAAACACCTGCCCCCCAAAATCTCTAAAAATATCTTGAAGTATTTGATGTGATGGATTGATTTACAGCCCAGTCCAGAGATGATTTAGGGAGAGAAGAACAAACATGGTTGGCTTTCTCTTGAAAATATTAGTGATCTTTGAATACAAACTAAAAGCAGTGCACTGTATTCTAAAATTAATTAGAACTGTGACAGAGCCCCTAAAGAATTTTCAGAGATAACATCCATATGCCCAATTCATTCTTTCAGCAATGCCCACTTGAATTCCAATATGTTCTTATCTATCATTGGCCTATCTTTCTCTGCCTCACTGTCTTCTGGATGAAAGCCCATAGCTCAGCTTTCTATCCCATACGATCAACCTTTACTCTATGTGAATTGCTGGAATAAATAAAGAAGGAATTACTAATGTAATGCACTTTTCTTCCATCACTTGGGAAAGGCCCATGTAATTAACTATAATGAGATTAAACTAATTTGTTATTAATTTTCCAATGCTGTGAAACTAAATCTGACCATAAGGCCATATTTTAACATCTTTATTAACGGTTGTCTTGTAAGTTTCAATACTTTTAATTTTAAAAGAAAATTATCCTAAAGTATCAGAGAAATACAATAAATTTGAGACAAAGTCCTTTTAGTAATAACATAATATACCTTAAGCTAAAACTTCGTACTAGAGAAAAATGAACAAATGCAGCTAAGAGCACCAAACAATACCAAATAAACCAGGAAGAGTGTAATTATTAAGTTCTTACCAGAACTTTTTTCCATTACTTCTTTCTGGCACATGTCTTGAACATTCACTGTGCAGTTCACAATGAACTCTGGAGCAGAGCAGTCATTATTTAGCTGGAATTCTTCACACTGGTAACACTGTATTTGCAGACCAAATCCTGGAATAGACAGAGTTTTGCTCAGAGTAGATCTGCATATGCCAAAAAAAAATGCTACTTATTTTTTCTTCACTCTGCTGTTCCTATCTATTTAGCAGCAAAGCAAAAATATGGGTTTGGCCAAAAGATTCGTCTCCAAACCTGGCCCATTTAGCTGAGGCTATGCCTTATAATTACCCATTTTCTTATAATCAGTTAACTATGTACAAACGGGGAGTCTACATGAGCGAAGCAAGCCCTAGCCAACCACTCACTTTTTTGAATTATCCAAACTCCCTGCGGAGCAACAGTAAACGCTGCAGCCAGCAGGGGGCAGAGTACAAAGAACAGGACTGAAATGAAATTGATACCACTTATCCACCGACCCGCACTCTCAGCTCCCACTCTACCCCGCTGGAGTCCCCTTAAAGCAGTGGGATAAGAACTATCCGTGCTTCGGGGGACAGTAACCGGGCTAACAGATGCGCTTCAGCTCTTATCTGTGCCGTCGGGTTTACTTAACTACTAATTAATTACAAATGATTTAATTACTATTTTGCCATGCACAATTACAGCTGCAAAGCAGTCTTCGCTTCCCTCTTTTATCATGTAAACTAGGTCCTTTTCCAACACGAAGTGCAGGAAACTGTCAGTCACAGGCCCTCCATGCTGCGGGGAGGGACTGCTCGAGGTGAGCCGCTTCTCCACTACATCGTCACCCAGAGGAGCTGTCCCCGGGCATGTCAGGGAAATGGGCGCTGCACGAAGAGAGCCCCGCTGTTCCCTCTGCATCTCGCTGGGAACCCCTGGCAGAGCTGGTCCCTCGTGCATCGCACAGGGGGCAGCAAAATTCCACAGGGGACCCCGAGCCTGGCTGACGATGCCGATTCAGTTCACACCGCCGCTGCTCCCAGGGCGGAGGCTGGTAGAAGGGACCCAGAACCGAGCTGTTCCCAGGCACCAGACAGGCGTGCTGGGCTCAGTGCTAGGGGCTGCTGGAAGAGCGCCGGAGCGATGCT